CCCCCCCCCCCCCCCCCCATTGTGTGGATGCTGCCAAGTTTGGCTTAAGGTAAACCGACTCCAGTTGCATATTCTACATAGCTGGAGTTGCGTATCTTTAGTCGACCTTCCAGGTCTAGTGTAGACCTGGCCCTAGAAGCTGGAGCAATAGAGAAAATCATTCTGGAGCAAGGGATTCTGTTCCCAATATTTCCTAATCCCAAAACCCAAAGGCAGACTAAGATCAGATTCATGAAAAAGCTGAAGTTCTTCATGGCCTCTCTGGCTTCCATTATTCCTTCCCTGAATCCCAGGGACTGGTACACTTGAAAGCTGCATACTTCCACATGTCAATAGTACCATCCCATGGGCAGTTCCTGCACTTTGTGGTCAACAACACCCATTATTAGGTAGTGGTTCTCCCCGTTAGGATATTAGCTGCTCCTCAGTGTTTAGCAAGGGCTTGCCAAGGAGGCAATAATACAAATATTCCCACATCTAGATACCTGACTTACCAAGGACTGTACCAAAGCCCAGGTGTAGTAGCACATGAACCTGATAAGATCAACTTTCGATGAGCTCAGATGAATACTGAATTGCCAAAATTAACTCTAAACCCTACCCAGTGGATAGGGTTCAGGACTCTTCTAGACTGAGGCGAAGCCAAAGCATTCTTTCTGGAATCCCATTTTTTGATCATGGGCACTAACATAGAAGACCTAAGATGATACCCTACTTTTACAGTGTGAAATTGCCTGAAGCTGCTCAGTCACATGGCTGCTTGTACCTGTGCAGTAAAGGATGCGAGACTTTGGCTCTGACCTCTTCATGCCTGGCTGTGCAGACCAAAACCAAGATCACCTAGAGAAGTTAGTTACACTTTCTCCTCTGGTTATTAAGTCCCACCTGTTGTAGCTCAACCTGCAAATGGTGAGTTCAGGAGAGCCCTTCTCCAGGCCCAACCGTTGATGTTTCTAGTCACAGGTGCATTGGCGATGGGATGGATGGTGCCCTTAGGAAGATGCAGGGCCTCTGGTCTTGTGGAACTTTGGCTTCATATTTATGTCAGGGAATTAAAAGCAGTCCATCTTGCTTGCCAGTTGTTCCAGGCCCATCTGGAAGGCAGATGTGTAATCAGTATTAACAAACAATATGACAGAGATGTTTTATATAAACAGATAGGGTGGCGCTTGCTCCTTGCCCCTATGTCAGACTGTGGGACGTCTGCATCATCCATTCAATATATCCAGAGGCATCGTATCTTCCTGGTTCCCAAAATGAACTGGCTGATCATTTCAGCAGGTCATTCCACAATCACGAGTGGTTCCTCTGCCTGAATGTCAGAATCAACATCTTTCCACAGCGGGGATTTCCCCAGATAGATTTGATCATGACAACCCACCAGAGGAACCAGCAGCTTTGCTCTTTCCTGAATCACAGACCAGGCTCACTTGCAGATGCTTTTTTCATCCCTTGGAA